AAAATGTAATGTAACCAATTGTGTTTTTGGTGTATCTGTCGTACTTGTATATTACTTCAGTAGTAATAAACGGTGGTGGTAGTGATTGAGCTGTTATGTTAGGTGGATTTAATGGGTAGGGATGTTGGGTAATATTATTTAACTTAACTGTGATTTCAAACTTTAATTGTAAACTGTTTTGTTGGAGTATTTGAATATTGTGATCACGGATATCGTTGTGAATATCTTGGCGATATTGTAATCTATTAAGTGCCCAGTTATGAAGGCGGTTACTTTCTTGATGTTGTCCAAATAATGGTGGAGGTGCTGTGAATGTATTCCAATCTAATCTTAAAGGAATATTTATAGATGATTGTTCTCGATATCTGGCGTCGAGATTATTTGGAAAATTTAAGTTAAAGGGTAGTGGTGAAAATTGACTTATTGATGGTGTTGATGGTAGTGATAATGTTTCTGGTAGTGATGAGGATGTTGTTGTATCCGTAGAAATATCTATGGGGTCATTGACTAAATTTGGTTCACCTTGTGTGAATGAATTTGTAGTCCAATATGGTAGTCGTGATGTTAGGTTTGGGGGGTTAAAGGGATTTTCACGTATCTGTTCAGATGTTGGTGTTGAACCTAAGTAGTCTGAAGGTAGACTGGAAGTGCTTCGTTGTGAAAAAAGTGTAGGAGTTTCTGGTGTGATACCAGTGGTGTTTTCTGGAGTGGTTTGTGTTGGGGATTGAGGTATATCAAAATGAACTCGGGGAGTTTGAAAATTTCTATTTCGTCGAGGATGTATAATTTGTCTATTTATTTCTGCTGTGTTTTGGTTTTGACTAAGGTTTCGTATTCTACTTAGTTCTTGTGGTAGTGTTGGGTAAAGATTATATGTTGGTTCACTTAGGGATGCTTGTCGTTGAACTGGTTCTAGTGGTTCAGATAAACGAGCGTGCCGTTCTTCAAAAGTGTATGGATTGTCTTGAAAAGAAATTCGTGTAGATGTTTGAGGGTTTTGAGTAGTTGAAGGTGGTGTTGGATTATCTTGGGATGATGTCGGTGAAGACTGATTCTGTGACTGTTGGGTAGCAATTTTTGATGGATTTTTAAATTGTTACTTTAGTGGGAAGGTTTATGTTTATTATAATATTCTTCTAAAAAAAGAATTAGAAAAATTGTTGCTAGGGCAAATGTGATGATTGCTTTCTTTATACATTTACATATTGTCAAAATGAGGGATAATAGAAATGTTATGAAAATTACAAACAATAAAAAAATATCAGTTCTACTGAAAATTGTTCGTATCATTTAGACAAGTTGTTAAAATCGTACCTGTGGATATATTCAAGGGTTTTGGAAAGTTGGAGGAATAGTTCAATTATTGTGTAGAAAATTAAAAAAATGTTACAAAAAATTATTATGATTATTAGAAAAGATTCAATGATATCAAAAAGAAATATTATAAAGGCTTGAAGTATTGAAAAAAAATGTTTAAAATTGATAAATATTTGAGCGACTGTTTGAGAGAAAAGCATTTAAGAAATGATCTCTTGGTCGAATGTTTTTTTGCTGTTTGAGGCAATTTTCTAGTGTGGTCGAATTATTTATTAGTTTTTTGACAAGTGGGTTGAGTTTCGTAAAAAATTGTTGGGGGCAATTTTCATGGTGACTGGGAGGTCGTCTTTTTCTTTATTTTTGTTTGTCAAATGATCCGGGGTATGGTGAGATTTTTATACCTTAGGCTAATTAAAATCTTCACTTTGTGACTTTAGGCTAAGTTATCAAATTTGTTTTGGGGGTATTCGTGGTCTGAGTTGGGGAAATATTGTTGATCTTTGGGTTATTAGATAAGGGAGGGGTACGGTATTATGGTGATATTTATTTTAGCTGTCAAGTTGGAGTGGTTTGCTTATTTTTGACCTGGAGGTTGTAAAGTTATAGTTAGAGATGTGCCTGGAGTTCTAGATTATTCGTCTAATTGATCTTAGTTTGAGTTAGAGAAAGTGGCGGATTGGATGAATCCTATTGGTCTATTTTGAACTAGAATTATTGCGTACTTTGTGAGCATGTTATTTTGAAAAATGGAAATGAAAAATGTTACGGAGGTTTCAAGATTGTGAAGTATAGAATGTTAAAATTACTTTTTAAATTCTACTTTCTTTAATATTTTAGATTGGGGGATGAACATTTTGTAGTTTTTACGTGGTTGATTTCGGAGTCTTGTTGTCTTTCTATGTTCTGATTTGTCTATTTCTTCTTGGGGTATTATTTGTTCTGTCATTTTTCTATTTTTTCTTTGTTTTGGAGATTCTTTATGATTTTGTGTATTGTTTTTGGTGGCGGTTGGTTTTGTGTTTTGAGTTTCGGTGGGGTTATCATTTTGTTCTGTGTTTTTTAGATGTGGTTCATTTTGAATGATTTTTAATCCTGTGAAAGAATATAATTGAGTTAATTCGCGGAGTGCGTATTCTTTTGGGTAATAAGGTAATAGGTTGTTTCGATGTTGAACGATTTCTTTTTTGTTTGAGTCGATAATTTTATATGTGACATCTGTGGGTTTTGCAATTATTTGATAGGGTCCTTTTCGGAGGGGTTGTAATTTTTTAGAAATTCCTTTGTGAGTATTAAAATTAGGTATTAAAACAAATGTTCCAATTTTTAAATCGGAAGCTGGTGTAAAACGTGAATTGATTTGTTCATTAATATTTTGTCTTTGTAATAACTTTTGTTATTTTTTGATAAATTTCATTGTGTTTTTTATCTCTATTTAAAATCCATTCGGTGTGTGTACCGGAGGCTAATTTAAGAATTTGTGGGTGATGAAAATGATCTTCATCGTGTGTATGTAAAGGTAGGTTATAACAAATTGAGTCTTTATTTGGTTGACAATAACCTTGTGCGTTTTTATGTGAATTTGCTGTAAACATTATTGGTTTGCGTGGCTTTTGGTTAAAAACCATTTCGTATGGTGACATTCCTAAAGTTGTCGTAATTTGTGAATTATATGCTAAGGGAAATAATTTTACATCTGCTGACCATTCGGTATATTTTGTATCATTTCCGTTGATGATACATCTGAGATATTCTTGTAATGAACGGTTCATACCTTCGACTAAGCCGTTTGTCCAAGGTGCATGAGATGTACGTGGTTTGTGTTTAATGTTGTATAAATGACATAGTGTTATTATTTCATTATTTATGAATTCTGTACCATTGTCTGTAACTAAAATTTCTGGTAGTCCAAATTTTGCTATCCAGTGTTCATAGAGTGTTGTGTATGCGTAATAAGCGTTACAATGTGGTACTGGATTAAGTGCTACATAATGTGTAAATGCGTCAACAATTACCATAATGTAGGAGTTTCCTTCTGATGAGGGTGAAATTGGTCCTTTAGTATCAAATGAGATACGGTGATTAAAGTATAAACTTTGTCCTTTAAAATCTTGTATTTGTGCTACTTGTTTTTGATTTGGGTAAGGTTTATTTAGCTGACATACTATACAATCATTGCATAGTACTTTTATCCAAATTGGTGCATTTGGGAAGTAAAAATTTTGTATAAAATTTGAATATGTTTTTTCTGATCCAGAGTGTCCTTTAATATTTTGTGTATGTGAAATATTAAAAGCTATAAGAATCATACTTATAGGGAGACAGGGAACTGTGGATTCGTTTAAATTGTATTCTAAAAGGTCTGTAGTTTCATTGATTGTTGTGTTGTTAAATTTGCGAAAGTATCGGAGGAGTGTTTTGTTTCCTAGAATGGTTGAATCTGCTTTGATAGGTTTAGTTTTATATTTGTGCCATGATTTTAGTTGTCGAATTATCGGGTCAAGGTTTTGATATTGTTTCAGTGTTGAAATTGTAATCGTATCTGTTGGGGGGAGAAAAATGTTTTCAACTTCGAATTTAGATAAGGGTATTGTATCAAGTGGGTCGTGAAGGTCAAAAACTTGATTTATTGTGTATTTTGAATCATTTGTTTGTGGTCCTGATAAATTTATTTTATCAGTTAAATCTTCTTTTTCAATTAGTGGAAAATGGTCTTTTTTAGGTAGGTGTTGTTTTGTTCGTTTTTGTTGGGTGTTATTTTTTATCCATTGAGAATATGGAATTGGTTTAAAAGTTGATGTTCCAAGTAGGTCAACTTCATAATGATTATTTTGACAATCTAGATAAAGTGGGAAATGTTGTAAATTATTTATTTGTGATTGTTCAATATCAGTTTTAACTGCATATTTGCATTCTAATCGAGGTGATGTTTCGTTTTCTGCAAGGTAGAATTTTATGTTTTTGGGTATTTCAACTGTTGTTTTTCGTGTAAGTAATTCAGGTGGTGTATTTCGACTTAAGGTGTCTGGTAATGCAAGATTTTTTCCTGCAGTCCAAACTATATGTAAGTTTGGAAACTTCATTAGAATTAGTTGAAATCTGTAAACTCGGTGGTTTGGGTTAGATTTCTGTGTAAAAAGAAAGATGATTGGTTTGTGGTCTGTGAATAAAACTGTGGGATGTTTTGATCCAAGTATCAGAAATTCATATTCTGTAAGTGTATATATTATGGCTGTACATTCTCTCATTAGAGTTGAGAGTCGTAGCTCTGCTTGAGTGAATAATCGAGAATTTGCTGATATTAGGTTCATTTTATTTGTACCATTATGTGATTGTAATAATGCTGCGCCGATGCCAAAGTTCGAAGCATCGCACATTGCATAAAATGGTTGATCAGGGTCTGGAATTGTGTTTGAAATTTGTTCAGTTAAAAGTTTCTTTATTTCTTCGAATCGTGTTTGATGTTCTGTATTCCATTCAAAATTATTTTGTTGTCTAAGGATGTTGTAAAATGGTCGTAGATATAATTGCATTTTATAAACATATTTACTTAAAAAGTTTAACATTCCAAGGAACTCTTGGATTTTCTTTTTATTTGTTGGTGGTTGAAGTTTTTGAATAGCGTCAATGCGTGATTTCAGTGGAGTGATTGTTTTTCTTTCTATGTTATGTCCTAAGAATTTAACTCTTGTCAAAAAGAAATGTGATTGTCTGCCCCAATAGTCTGCCCACATAACAGTAGCTACTCTTGTCCTTCAGTCCCCCCTGAGGAATGGTCTCGATGGGCCAGCTGAACCTCTCGTCCCCCCACGTTTTCCCACAGTTCTGGGGCATCAAAATATCCCAAGAGGCGTCAAGGCCGCCGGCTTCTGCAGTAATTATTTTTTAAAATTGTAATTGAAACTTTAGATAGTAGAATTGAAGCTGTACAAACAAATGAATTGTAGTTATATACGTTTTATGCGCAGATATCTATCAGGTATATAGTTTTGAGTAACAACGTTTTTTGCATATTGGCCGAGTTTTTGAGTTGTTAAGCTTTTCTCTAGCATCTTTTGGAAGAGCTTTTTCTCGACTTATTTATCGATTTCCTCATTTGACCCACCAATTGATTACTGGCATCGTTGCAATTATTTAGAAACTGAAAGATACTAATTGACATTGTCATAAAATTTTGCCTGAAAACTGTGAATAATTTGCATTGTTTAAGCAAGTTCAGTCGTTGCTTTGAGCTAGATTGATGAGAATACTTAAGTCTTACAAAGAATGCAAAGTCTTAGAAAGATTGCAAAAAGTAACAAATGGGGTGAAAGTTAGATGAAAGAACCTATCAGTAGCGTCTTGCTCGTTCTGCTTAATCTGTTCGCAACCACACAGCCAGATGCGCCAGCACCAACTATTACGTAATCGTAACTCTCATCTGCAACATCCACAAGAGGCATCTAAACATGTGTCAACTGTCAACAATTGCATCTATTTCCAAAATTTGACCATTATTTTAAAACAAAAATATTAACACGTGATACTGAAATTTATTTAGACGTTGAAGCGTCAGCGATTAACTCTAAGATAAGTTGAATTACTTGTTATGAAAAACAATTCATTCGGCCGTTTAGTGAGTGATTCTGAAAGAATAGAAGACTTCTACGAGGGAGGGGCGATAGACCAAGTTAGGATACATATAGTTTGGTTTAAAATTTCTTAGCGCTGAATGGTAAGTGCTCGGTTGTGGCTGGCTGAAAATCCATTTTAGGACCAATGAACATCCTCTTCCCCAAATTGCTCGGGGGGGGGGGGGGGGGGGCGGGCGAGGATGTTACCTTGGTCCGAAAGTTTTGATCTAAAGTATCGTCTTCCGATTCTCTTTGTTTGTTAGGGGAACGAACTTGTTTGAACACGGGGATACGGAGGGCGTCACCATCAGCCCCTCATTCCACCGCAACTTACTCAGCTCCTCTTAATCTTTGAAAGTGAATTTCAACCAAGATAAAATCAACTTACTTTTAATGAGAACAGAAGTTCCAAAGATTTAAAGCTCTTGTTCTTCAATCAAAAGCGCTTGTTGTTCAATCAAAGCGAACTTTCTGATGGTTGCGATTAATTTACTTTATTTATCTGTTTAATATTTTTGATTATAGTTATGATACTTCTGTTTTGGCCGTCGTATTTGACGGACCAAAAACTACGTACGCTCGAGTACTATGATCGAGTTAGTTTTTCATATTGTTATAACATCAAAGAAAAATTGAAGGGCCGCGAATAATAATTTGTCTTTTTCCAATCAAGCGCTGCTGAGCTGCAATTCGCCGTTTAAAAACTTAATCAGGTAATTGATTATAACACAGAAAAATAAATATGAAAAATGACTGAAAAATTTCATGCTTATCCTTCTTTCAGAGTACACCTCACAGGTCTCAGTTTTCAAGTATTCAATACAGAAGTTATCAATCATTGAAAAGTTCTAATACAAATGTGGCATCATAGATGACCACTTTAAGCTGAAATTATAACGACTTCGAGAAAAACTTCCACGATATTCAAAAATTTCACCAAGAGATTTTTTTGCTAATTTAAAACTTATGGTGGTGCCCTTGAACTCCGATGTGATTATACAAGCCAGGTTTAGCGGGCGTAGTGTAAAAGTACGGGTTTGGCTACTCTTTTTTCAACCTGAATCGCGAATAGTGGTGCCATCTTTGGAAGAACCTTTAAGGTTTTTTGATAGCGTAAACTTTGACATTCGATTAGTAGTCAATTGCCACAGTTGATGCTTTTTTCATACATTCAATGAAATGAAAAAAAGTTTTTTTTTCTAACAATAGTACAGTATAATACAAATTCAATTGCAGAAAATTTCCATCTTAATATGTCACCCAATTTATACAAAATTTGTTTTATGCTTTCCAATTAATTACAAAAAAATTAGTGTAGATTCCCTTGTAATTCAGCTTACTTCATGCAAACTTTTTGCCTATTATTTTATAAGGCAGTTTTTTTAAATAGCACTGGCAATTTCTTAGCGGATGTAGCTGATTTACTGGTAGTTAGTGTTAGCGAAGTTGCATGGGCATGTGGCGCAGATGCGAGCGCGTGCGAGAACATGTCTTCCGGTCGTAGGCTCAAACGCGCTGCTGGAAAACTTCGAATTTTTAATACTTTTCATCGTTCCTTCTTATTTCAATTTCACGGCTAATTTTAGTCATTTTCTCGTTTGTGTGTGCGAAGCCGAGCTGCGCCCCCGTGTTAGATTTGATACCAACTTATGAAACTGCCCAAACGTTTGGGGCAAACGAGCATAGCTTAAGAGATTCACTTTATTGCTATCTTATGTTCGATCACTTGGCCTAAGCAAAAAAGCTTAGCTCGGAATCTAGCTGCAAGTTTACCACGGTTTCAGTCAACTAAGCTTCATTGGGGATAAAATAAATAAAATTTGAACGCAAACCAGACTGCTCGTTCACCAGAAACAAGCCTGCCCTCTATCTCTGATCACAAGTTTTGGTTCAAAATTTTTTTTAAAACGTTTGAAAAAACAGTGACCATTTGAATACAAAAAAAATTATTTCGTATTTTATCCCCCCTCGAGTTATGCGAAGTGAAGTACCGAGTGTTGTGCTTTGCATGTGGTATTGAATAAAAAATATCAAATTGCTTGCCTTGGTTTATTTTGCCAGGATTTAAATTGCCGTTCATGCTTCAATGGAATGAAATATATCGCGCATTGTCGTCGAAATTCCAAATTCAAATCTATATTTCACTTACGAAAGCACGTGACTTGCAAGCGGGTGCTTGACTTTTTTCCCGTAAACAACTTTTACACTTTTTACCGACATTCAGACATGCTTAAAAGCTGTAGTATTCAACTTCTTGAAAGCTCAAATAAAACTACTTTTTAGTTCATATGGGGTAGTAATTGAGTTTTTCAAATATATATGTTTTTTAAAATGTTGGTTTGTGGTTGTCCTAACTTCTGTCGGCTGATTTTCGTTTTTTTTCAAATCCCAGGTTTTTTATTTGGTTAGTTTTTCAGGTGGTTTTTTTAAAGGTGGGATCTTTTGTTTTTTGATTCAAACTGTTTTCAATATAATGTAAACTATAGTTGCTCTGTATTTTGTAATTTTTAATAATTCTGATTTTCAATAATTTTTTTTTATTTTTTTTCCTTTAAAAGATCTCGGAGTATGTTTTTCTGGCTTAGTCAAAATGTTTGCACAGTTTGAAAGACAAGCAGTTTTATTTCTTTTAATTGTTTCAGGAGGGATGGGTCTTGAACATTATACTATAAAGAAATTTCGAGCTATTTTTATGAGTATTTTCGTTTGTATGTTTCGATGATCATGAACAGCCTGAACAAGCATTGACAGTCAATGAAACAGGGGGAACGCAGGCAAAAAAACTGGGATCGACGCTCGTTAAGCCGAAAACGAAACAGTGGACAAAAAAGATTTTCAAGCTTTTCAAGCGTCAATAGAAACTCTTATGTCTACGGTTTCGTTTTCGTTTTTGGCTTAACGAGAATCTACCCAATATTTTTTGCCTCAGTTTCCGCTCGGACAATGATTCTCAAGTTTTGTTCAGGCTATTTATGAACAAATCCGAGGCAAAGATATAAAATTTTCGAAGGTTTTTGAATTATTCTCAGGTTAATTTTTTCAGCTTGTTTTTGAAAAATAAGATTTTTGTCTTTTGTTTTTGTATTAAATATATTGTAAAACATTTTTTCCGTTGTGTCGTTAATCGATATATGTTGCGGAGTTTCAGCGGTTAATGTTTTAAATATTTTGCCTGTTTCATGAGGGTTGGTTTGTAAAAAAATATTACTTGAAAAAATATTACTTAAAAAAATATTTCCTTGTAGCTAGAATATTTATAGGTATACAGTTTCGTTTTCGGCTCAACGAGGGTCGTCCCATGTATTTTGCCGCTCGGTCATTGATTCTAAAGGCTTGTTGAAGTCGTCCGATAGAAAGATTTAAAAGTTTTGCTGATATTTTTTTTGGATTTTTCGAACTTTTTTCAGCACAATTTTAGATAGTGAAAGTTTTAATTAACAAAGTTTTTAGAAGTGAAATTTATTATGTCTACAGTTTTTTTTTCGACATGAGAAGGGTCGGTCCATATTCTTTTCCCGTAGATAGATGCTGCTGGATGATTGATTCTAAATGGTTGTACAGACTTTTTATGAACTTCATCCTAGAAAAAGTTACGAAAGTTTTGTAGAAAGTTTTTGGGAAATTTTTCAGGTAGTTTTTTCAGCCCAACTTTCTTTGAAGAAAATACCTCTTTCTTTCTTTTGTTATCTTGCAATGTTTTAATTTTTTTGTAAGTGTTGCATAGCTCCGCTTCGCCTCTGTGTAACTTTTGGAAAAAGATCACATGTGAAATATCTTTTTAAGTTTGAAAGTTTGAGCTGAAGTGGTCAACAATTTTCAGATGTTATAGCTTTCAACGAATTCATCGGACAACGTATTAAATTTCTGAATTAATTTTGGCCTTCAAATTGAAATTAAACTGAAATACTTTGCTATTTTGTCGGCGTTTGCCTTTTCGTCGGCATTGGATGTGCTTTTTTCTTGAAAAATTACATGGCAAATCGTTGTTGAACGAAAAAGTTTTTGCTATTGTGCTCTTGAAACGATGTTCTACGAAAAAGCGCAGCCAATATGCTCTTTTGTCAGTTCAAATGCAGTTTTGAAAATTCGATTGCAGTTTTAACGCCATTTCACTGTCTCAAGGTCAGAATTATTTCAAAAATTAAAACTTTCGATAAATTTGTTAATGCTATTTAAAAAACATTCGAAAAAGGCTAATTATTCAAAGTTTTTCTGGAAATTTCGACTTTTTAAATAGCCATTTTTGACAGAATTTTTAAATATCATTCAGAAGGTGTTGTTGTCCTGAGCTTAAATTTGAAAAGATATTTTACCTGTGATCATTTTTCGTAAATTTAAAGATTGCCATTTTGGTCAATTTGGGACAATTAACGCGCGATATATTTCGCGCTATTAACGCGTAAGCGGAGATTTAATCCGTCTTTTTAATCGTTCCAAATTGGTTGAAAGAAGCTTATTTGCCATAATTGTTCTGTTACAATGAGCAAAATCTATTCTTTTAAACTTTATATGGCGTGTGGGGAATGACTGATTTCATAAAAAAATTTCAAATTTTAGAAGCTCTCTGCATTTTAGAAATTTCAAATTTTAGAATAGTCTGAAGGTTTCGAGTTTCTTACTTTAATTTTCAAATTTTGTAATATGATTGATTGAGGTTAAGATACTTCTGCTCTAGCCGTAGTCTTCGAAAGACTAAAATCTACGTTGATTATAAAATATGTAAAATATCTACGTTGAGAAATAAAATGATCGACTTAGTTTTTCACATTGCTATAACGTCAAGTAAAAATTGAAGTGCAGAAAAAAATGTACCGTTTTTTGCTTCTATTTTTTTAGAGTCGACTTCACAAGCCCTGGTTTTCTTGCTTACCCATCGAAAGGTTCTAAGATAAATGTGGCATCAAAGATCACCCTCGTCAATCGAAAACTTCGAGGACTATGATACTCAAAAAAGCTGTTCCCTGATGTTCAAAAAAAAACAAAGTTTCAGAACTAATTTGCTACTTTTGAACTGTTGAGAATGCTACGATAATATTTAGGCGGGTACCAAAATGTCAAAATGCTCCAACGATGTAAATGAGGCTACAAGCAAAGTTTGAAGGGTTTTTCCTACCATGCTATTTTTGATGACTTGCCATTCCAAAAACGCCTAATTCGGCTTCAAGCTATTAGGTTTACCACAGCTTGAATAAGTAACGATTCTTTGGGATACCACAAATAAAACCTAAGCGGAAACGAGCTGCTCGTATTAAATTAAAACCTTTTTCATTCCGAATGCTTTTCAAGATTCAAGATATAGTCGTTTTTATGATAAAAAACTAAACCGATGGAAGCTCAAATAAAAAGAGGGAATTGTTTCCTGAAATTTTATTTTTTGAAAAGATTTCACCTTCTTTCTATTTAAAGTACAATTTGATAAAATAAGCTACTAACAACGTTTAATAGTGCTTAATATCTTGTCTCAAATCAATAGTGAACATTTTTTATTCGGATAAATTGGCGCTCATACGTTATAAGTACAAAAAATCTTGCGCGTTCTTTTCCCTAAATTAATCAAATTGGCAATTTTCAAAGCGCTCT